GCGCGTTTCGTAAAGCGGTACGACGGCTGTTCGTGCCTTGTACGACAGCGTTGCTTCAAACAGGCCAAGCACAGGGATCTTCTGGCGTGAAAAGTCAAACAGAGTAATGCTGGGGGTCCTGAGTTGTACTTTATCTTGAAAAAGGTTTTGAAAGTGACCTTCCCCAATTATTGACACTGCAGAGCCTGTGTCAATGAGAAACGAGACTTTGCGCGTGAGCGGCTTCGGGTTAATCACCGACACGTCGACGTCAACATACAGGCCTCTGCGTTTGTTTGTGCAGATGGTCAAAATACTGTGACCGCTCTCAGCGTCATCGTCGCAGAGGAGTTCGCGGACTGGTGCAGGCCTTCGTGGTTGGCCGCGACGCGAGCTCCGACACACGCTCTGGAAGTGTCCGCGGCGTCCGCAACCATAACAGGTGCGGCCGCGGGCGGGACAGCGCGACCGTTCGCATCCTGTTGCGCCGCAGTTATTGCAGTTATCACAAGATACGGCGTGCAGGGGGTCGGCAGCGGCAGTTTCCGGCTTGGGCTTGTAGTTTTGGCGAGTGCGCGACTAGCTACGACGATGCTGACTAGGGGGGCGGGACCCGTTGAAGCGAAATCGGGGGCTATCATGCCTAGCCGGGTTGCGTCCGCGTTGGCACTGCGTAATGCGGCGAATCGCGTTCGCAAAGGCTTCAGCTTCTTGGCGAGTTTGTTCGCGAAGTTTGGCAATTTCTACCGCTCGGTCGAATGTCAATGCGTCGCCTTCGAGGAGCAGTCGTTCTCCAAGTTGCGGGCAAGTTACTCCGGCAACGAACTGTTCGCACAAGTTATCATCCACGGTAGCGGCGAAATTACACGGGGCTGCCAGTTCCCGGAGCTCCAAAGCAAATTCGGCAACCGACTCACCGGAAAGCTGTCGACGTTCACGAAAATGATGACGTTCCACTCGGACATTGACGGTGGCGGTGAAGTAGTGTGCCAGTGTGTCAACGGCAACGTCGTATGGGTCCGAAGGGCTTGCGACAGCGGTGTGCGTGGACGTCTGTTTTTCCGTCGACTCGCTGACCGTGGCTTCAGTTGAAAGTGGCGGCTGGGGTGGGGGCGGTGCCGGCAAGGCGTCGAAAATCCGTTGGCCCTCGGGGCCCAGGCAGTGAAGCAGGAGCGCGCGACGGTGGGTTGCTGGCCACTCGTCGGCGCTGGACGCGAGCACGAAGTTCTGGAACAACCGGAACCAGCGGTGCCAAGGAATCGCTGGCGTGCCCGGAGTCTCGAGGAACGGCGGCGGGGGAGATATACCGGTGGCCATCCTCGTCGCCAATGTGGTATTGCGGCGTGGTGAGCCGCTATCACGGAAGAGAGGAACTCGTACACATGACTGCCGCCATGGGCTACCGACGACTGCCGGTGTTTATTGTACGGTGGACTTATATACACGACAAACAGGTACATAGATCACAGCGCCATCTCTGGTGGCGTCGCAGAACCAATACGAATACACAACACTGTTTTTTTTTATGAAAAAAAAAAAAAGCATTGCAAACCATTTCAAGTTAGGAATGAGGCTGTGAATTTGTGTTAATGCAGATTGTTGTTGCAGATTAATGCAGAAAGAAACCTACTTGTGCGTGTGACAAAAGGAAAAAACCTCCCAGTGAGTTTTATTATCAGCCTAAAAACAGAACTGTAACCTTAGTAAAAGAATATAAGTATGTCAGTGTTACTGTTATTTATTATAAATAACTAACATGGTCAACACACATCTCAGATATCTGCTCAACAGCTATTAAAGGGACACTAAAGGCAAATATATAGTCGATTGTTGAAATAATGGTCCAGAAACCTCGTAGGGCTATTTTTGTGCAAAGGATGTGCTCAGTTTGGAATAAAGTCACGTTTTAATGGTCCGCAATGCGTTAGCGCACTTGAAATCACCTGTGTGAAAGCGGACTCTTACGACGTCTAATTTCGAACTCTTGGCGCCAAAAAAATGCGGAGAGGAAAGGAAGAGACGTAGACATGAGCGCAATGTTATCTACGTCTCTTCCTTTTGTCTCCGTTACAGTGGCTAGAATAGGGAAGTGTAATGAACGCGCTGGCTAGAGCGTAACGCTTTGGGAGGAAACCGCCAGGTGGCGCTGGCACATTTTTGCATGTCACCTAAGGTGGCGTGCGCTGCGCAGACGAGAATCAACCATGCGCGCAGGCAATGTGAAACATTTAAGATATATTTTGTTGCTCGTGCATGGCCTCATATGGCGACCGATAAATTACGTTAATTAGATTCGGGAGTAACAGGTTGCCTATGCGGGTGCCCGACTGAACTGAAATATCGGCAGGGTGCCGAAAGTGAGCGCGTGACGGCACTGAAACATTTTATCATTGTGAAATGGTAGAAGAGTGGAACGATGAACTCTGTTGTGAGCTATTGCTTGCAACACCTTTCATGGCGAACCATCATTTCCTCAAGCAGTAATCTGTAAATAATGCTCCATCATTCGTAACGTCAAACTCAGAGACGAGAATCATGAGCGATATCTCGATGAAAACCTTTTATTTTCTGCACACAGGTCATACATCACATTTCCGAGTAGTGACTCATTATCTGTTTACAACAATGCGTTCTTCATAATTGTTCGTGCATCTTTCTTTTTTCTCCCCAAGAAAAAGCTTTATAGTTCACAAGCGCCCCACAGAACATTGGGCTGCAAGCCTAAGTGACGCACCTGACCTTTAGGTACTTCCTCTTTTCACGTGAACATGCTCGCTCCTTGTGGAGTGCCTTAAGTAAAAATGCAAATGGGTGAGCAGAGAAAACTTGGCCACTTGATTGTTGAGGCTCAGACCATGTTGTGCGCAGCCCAGTGTGACAATTTTTTTTTTTCCAAGCAGAAAACAAGCTTTTTCAAGCTGTTCCTGTGAAGCTCGTTTAGCTAAACCACTTTGAAAAAGTGATTTCAATGGCGTCTACGAATGCGAAGAGCTTCTCCGAAAGGCCTACCCATAGGCGTCCGCACGAAGGGGGAAATGGAGTGGGTGTCCCCCTCCCCCCCCCCCCCCCCACGTTGTCACCTGGGCGGCGGGCGCTAAATCTGTTCTATACATTGACTAGGCAGCGGGGCACACCTTTAGTAATTTAAAAGGGAGCGCTAAGTCTGCCTCATACGCTGATTATAGAGAGGAGGCACCCTGCAATGAACCTTTGCTCCTCCTCCCCCCCCCCCCCCCTAAATGGCAAGCACGCCTGTGGGCCTACCCCTTTGAATGTGGTTAATTTCACCATTCACAGTGTGCTTGAAGTGTTGGGAGATGTACATCTCGTCGAAGTGCAGCTTGCACACAGCCAAGTTTTTTTGAAGCAGCTTGTCAGCTCGTGGAATCGCTCTCCACCACTGCGCAAACAGAGCTTCGTCTTTTGGAACCCCAAACAACGCATTTTTTTTTCCAAGCCGACCTGTGGCTTTTAGTGCACCCCGGGACGAAGCAATGACTTTGTCTTCGTGCCATGAGAGTGCATACAGAAGCATTGGTGTCAGAGTGCCACCGATATATATATATATATATATATATATATATATATATATATATATATATATATATATATATATAAAACGAGGACAAACGCGCTCGACGAAACTGTCGGAAACGTGCAAACAACGTATAAACAATTGCGCTCCCCCACGCGGCTCCTTCTCGGAGGCTTCAGTGCGCTCCGTAAGCACCGTTTGTCGCCCGTCACACTTCTCTATTCTAGCCACTGTATCTCCGTATTTTATAGCGCTAAGATTTCGAAGTTATGCATCTTTACCAACCCGCCCAACTCGCCACACTCGTCAGTCTTAGATGTCATTGTTTCCGTTCCCAGTATTGCCCGCCTTCACTATGCGGCAGCCGACACCAGCAGCAGCGGAGCGAAAGCAGAGGGAGTCACAGCACTAACAATGACCATTGAACAATTTTCTGCAATCTTGGAGGCCACTGTTCTGCTTGCTTGGTTCAACTAAGTCCAACTAGATGGCACCACCTATGCAGCCTAACCAGCAAAAATTGAACTTTTGAACCACTCATGCCATTTTTCGTAGTAACACCAGGCAGTTATTTTTTTCTATAAATAAAGCAGAAACAGCTGAAATACTCGCTACAAAAAATTTTATTGTAGCTAGTATGATTACTAGGGATTAATTGTAGCCGGACACTCTCACGTAGCGGGATCATTTCTCAGATGTTCCACTCGTGGCGCACATAGTGTAATACATTTAGCTTAATTTTTTGGTAAGTAAGGCACTGTTATTGATAATATTGCCAATTTAGATGTTGTCATTCATTGAGCTTTCACTCTGACATAAATTATGATATGCCTTTAGTGTCGCTTTAAGAATCTGGTTCATAAAGAGGGAGCTTTACCATGTACCTATAAGAACTAAAACATTATCTTACAGTGCAATAACAAGACATAAATTAGAATATGCTGCTGAAGTGTATGACCGCATACTAAACAGAACATTTTGTTGAGCAAGTACAGAGAAAAGATGTAAGATCTATATACAGGAAATGTGTGAGTAAAAATACCCCGTCTTTATTATTGTCACTAGAACAGAATACAGACACTGCAAACACCCAGAAAAATTAATCATCAAGTACTACTGCACAATACCTGCGCTGCGAAAAATAATATGGCGTGTCCCTCTTCTGTATATAGGTGTACTGCAAGATGAACAAGACACTGGCACCAACATTTGCTTGCGCTGATTTTCACTTAAAATAATGCTGATGAGTAAACGTTTTTTTCCTCGAACGGTGAGCAAGTACGATTCCTTTCCCATTAATGTATCCGAGTCAAATGATTTGATGGCTGCCATGACAAACCACTTTTCTTGTTTTATGTTTGTATTTTCTTTTTATTATTACTACTTTTTTCATTTGTTTTCAAATTGGCTGTAATGCCTCTCCTGCTTGGGCCAAAGTATTGGCTGGCAGTATTTCTAAATAAAGGAATAAACCTCTTTGGTGCAGATGTGCAGTTTTTAATGGAAGTCAAGGCTGATCCTGCTGACATAGCACGGGCAAGGAAATTGATGCTGCCTGACAGCTTCTATCTTTACCAGACAAAGACACCTTGCCCTGGGTGTCGAGGCTGTGATGACTGGGAGAGCAAGAAAAGTAAGTGTCTGATTTTTTTATTCTAGGCCATACAATTACCAGAATTTATCAACAATTTCAAGCTCAGCTGTAGGCGGGATTTTCCACGGAAAGGATGGTGTCACAGCATCCGGGTACCTTGGTGCTGTTTATCGATCGCCAGCAGCCTGGTGTTTGAGAACTTGTTGAATTCAAATACGAGCTTCCCACTGCTGCGAATTTCATAGAGCACAAATTAGATCTTGGGCACAAAGGACCAATTATTAGACCCTCTATTTTACTAACGGCCCATAAATGAGGATCCTAATAGTTGTCACTGTAATGCACAAAAGCAGGGCAACTTCTCCTTTCAGATAAGGCTGCAAGGTTGTTCTCAAAGCACCGTCATCAGAATGATTCTGGGTTGTAAACAGATTGCACAGAAAATTAAGACAGCTTCTGCTTTGAATACTGTTACTGAAGCATCAGGAAAAGCCATATTTATAAACAGGCATGAAGTGTATTTTGGAAAAAATGGTAGGTGGCCTGAGGTCGCTGGGACTACAGAAACTTAGAGCTGTCTGCTGAAAAACAATGAGCAGTAACCTTATTTCATCTTTTGGGTCATTCTAAGTAAACTGTGTGTGTTTTTGCATAAGTCAATCGCGCTAGCTTACTACCGTATTCAGAAACGCTGCTTGACTTGAACTTGACTTGAAACGGCCTTCAATGCAGCCCATTTGAAATGTGTCTGTGCGTTTGTACTGCCTCAGCACCGCCTAAAGACAGTGCGTTAAACTGCATTTGTGCTGCATTGAAGTCGGTGGCAAGTCAAGTTCAAGTCAAGCAGCGTATCTGAATACGGGGGTTAGAAGCACAGTGAGCATTAGTGCTTGTTAGAAGCTCCGAAAAATTGTTATGCTGCTTCAGAAAGAGGCTTTAGCTGCTGCAGAAGCTGCACCGAAGTGGCTTTGGTCAATCACATCACTGGGCCACCGATGTTCCACTTCCTTCTGCAGAGGCACTGGCAGCATCCTACAAAACCTACAGGTCCTGCAAAATCTTCGTCAACCAAGGATGCACCCCACTTGGCTGCAGCTGACAGCACCACAGGCAGCCGAGAGGAAGAAGGCAGTGACGGGGGGCTCTTCAGTAAAGCTGCTACAGGACTTTCCTTTGCCGATTTGGCTAAACAACAGCCGAATACAGGTTTTGGCTTCCAAGGTCCATCTCCCAAGAGTGGGCAGTCCCTTTTTTCTGGAGCAGGCACCAAGCTGTTCCAGTCGGCGACATCCAGGCGAAAGTCTGAAACTGAAGACGATGGTAAGTCCATATTGGCGTGCCCTTTCAATGTCCACTTTGAGTCGATGCGCTTGAAAAGTTCAGGTTTATGACCAACTCATGACTGACCTAATTCTGAATTGACTGCATGGTTTCAAAGTGCATAGAGAAGGTTGATGTGCACGATCAAGACCTCTTCTCGGGATCAATGATAAACATGTACGTCCTCGTAAAACATGTGCAAGATGGTCAAAGGCGTACCGTTGACCGCAAAAATTTGTGCGATTGGCAGTGTGTAGTGGAGCAAAGGAAAACTATATTGCTGCGTCATCTGCCATGACGCGGCAGGTGTTGAGACTATTGGCTGTGTTCTCCGCGATTAGCAGCAGCCCACTTAGACAACACACCTCAGTCGGATTTAATTGTGGAGGGATTTAATCGCCGCCATTATCGTCAACCCCTGCCACGTATGTGGCAGTAGGTGACGCAGCAACGTATTTTTTGCCAAAAGTGTGAGGCTTTACTGCACGTAAAAGTGCGTCGATTTCATACGTCTTCTTCGCAGCTGCAGGTGCAGATGAGGTAGCCCCTAGCGTCGACATCCACTTTGAGCCTGTGGTGCCTTTACCTGATCTTGTGGAGCTGCGCACTGGTGAAGAAGACGAAGAACAGCTGTTTTGTCACCGGGCTAAGTTGTTTGTGTTTGACAGCCAGCTCAAGCAGTGGAAGGAACGAGCCCTAGGCGATATCAAGATCCTAAAGCACAAGACTCGACCCTGTAAGAGCTCTAGAGTCTCCTTACGTCACTAAAAACCTTTTGAACGGGGAATGTCGCTGAGGTAGTTTTTCTACAAGTCACGGCTGCTTTGACCTATCCACTTGTCAGGCTCCAGTGACGTTATTTGTAAAACGAGCTTTACCGTATATACTCGCATAATGATCGCACTTTTTTTTTTTTTTCATAAAATTGACTCAAACTTCAGGGATGCGATCATTACGCGTGGTAAATTTTCCGTGAAAAAATATTCTGAGCACCTGGAAACCCAAAGAAGTCGCTAATCAGAATTCTTACAGTAGCTATCAAGAACATAACCAAAAATATAAGTAAATTAAGGCTTACCTTTGTAATGAAATGCACGCATTACGCAGGAGCTACATGCATGGCACATTGCCCTTTTATTTTTTTACCTCTCCTGACCCCCTAACGTTCATACAGACTCCGAAGCATCAGTGGCGTCAGTGTCGTCGCCGCACGATTCCTGTCGGAACCGGCAGTGTCATCACTGTCCCACAGTGTCATCTTCCGTTCCGTCGAGCACGTTGGAAATGCCAGCGACAGTCCATTCCACCGCATGAAGCGTGTCGTCCAGCCGGAACTGGCGCCGGAAGTTATTTATGGCTATTCCCAGCCTCCGGGAAACTGCACGCCTGCGTCCGTATCATGTCTAATGACACTGCACAACCGCCCTCGCGCGTGTCCTTCACGTATTCAAGGACTGCCTTCTCAATGTCAGGGAACTTGCCAGATTTGGATCCGCGGAAAGCCCATTGCGTGCTGTTAGTAGCCATGAGCATGTCGCGCTGTTTTTTCCAATATGGTATCTGGATTTTCGTCGACGCCGAAATGTCTGCCGGCAGCACGGTTGCCGTGCTCTAGCGCGTAGTCAGCGCTTTCATCTTGAATGCGGCAGTGAAGCTCACATACCGCCCCATGGTAAAACGCGCTTCGACAGACGATTACAAAGCACTCCAAAAAAAAACGTGGTTTCAGTGAAAAGAAAAATCTTGCTGCAGGATGAACACAGGTCGACCAACAGGCGGCCGGCGCTGTAACAGTGCGGGATGTCAAAACAAACATGGCGGCTGACTGGAGCGAAGCACTCCGTGGAGCGAAGCCACCGCTTTTTTTTTTTTCTTCTTTGCGTCAGTTATGGAGGTTGTGAGTACATCACGCGCGTCAGATTCTTTGCGTCAGTTATGGAGGTTGTGAGTACGTCACTGCGCGTCAGAACAGTTTCTTCCATCTAAATAAAGAATGCTTTATTTAAATAGTCAATTTACGGCATTAGCGTAGTGATGCCCGCTTTAAGATCACAGAAACGATGATAGGCGCGTTCAGCTAGACTTGGCACATGACATGTCGATGGGGCAAGTTCAGGGTGCGATCATTACGCGGGGAAAAAAAAAATGTCGAAATTAGACATCAAAATTTAGGGGTGCGATCATTATGCGAGTGCGATCAAGTCGCGAGTAAATACTGTATTACATTGAGCTATACGAGCCATTCGCATTTATGAGAAAACTGCTCCTCTGTCCGCCTTCTTGGCTCAGATGCTGACCTGAAGAAGGTTGGTTCGATCCCGGCCGCGGTGATCGCATTTTGATAGGCGGCTATATGCTAGAGTCCCTTGTTCTGTGCAATGTTCCGTAGCCCTCCTCCACGACGTGCCTCGTAAACATTGTGGTTTTGGCACGTAAGACCTCGGATATTATTAGACAGTGCTTCTCTATCAAGATCTTTCACATGTGAAAGAAAGCATCACATTGGTGGAAATGTATATAGTAGTTGCATTCTAATTTACCAGAACTGTAAACTTTTATTGCATTTAAGGCTCGTACACACTGAAGACAGCGCAAATGGAAAAGGAGGAAAAAGGGTGGTGAGCTGGATCGCTCGTGTCACCAATTTTTTGCCACCCGCCGTTGCTCGCTGCTTTGCCACATTCAATCCGAACAGCACGCAATTGTGGCGCTTGTCTATCTTTTGTAGAAGCTTGCCACGTGATAGTGACATGTGCCTGCTCTACCAAGGAGTCGTGTGGTCTGTAGTGGTGTGCGTACTTGCCACTACGAAAAGCTTGCTTTGTCACTATACATTCGGTGTAAATGAATCTGTAAACCTCGGCATAACACAATCTGTCACAGCTTGTCATCAAAACCATGGGTGTTGCTTATACTTGGGCAATACTGATGCTATCATGTTCGCTGAAATGGAGCACTTACTCTCTGCTCATTCTGATAAATGTGAAACGTTGGAAATTGTTGCACATCAAAAACAATAGAGCTGTATTTTAAAGTTGCATGAAAGCAAGGCAACAACCTGAATCTTGGCACCTACTTTTTTTGGTGGCCACCTTTTGTTGTTTTGCCAAAATAAGAATCAAGGAAAACTTGTTGTGGCAATGTAAATTCTAGTCGCCACTAAGTCTCTGTTTTTTCCCTTGCTGGTTGAGACCACTCGCTAGATACCAGCCTTGTTGGCGGCATAGGTTTCCTGAATGAATGTCATCGTTGTTTCCTGAACTGATGTCATCTCCAAGAGGGAGACAGGATGTCGCCGTTATTTCCTGAAGGGATTGCAGATCCCTTGGCTACAGAGCTCATTGCGTTAGCTGCTGCTGTGTCTGCAGCTGCTGGCACTTGTTACTTGAAATGCACTATTAATAAAAAGCATCTGATTCTGATTAACACACTGCACGTGCAGCAAATACAAAACTGTTCCAAGTAGAGATGATACAGTAGTGCACAACATAGTGCACCAGGACTCCCACATGCCATACCACAGTGACTCGCTCTCCCTATCATTCACTGCCAGAAAACACATTGCTCCATTTCTGTGGTTGCTCTCTGGTGTATGGCACACGATGTAACTTTTGCATTCACAAAAAGTGCGTGCAAAGTCAACCATATGATGACGGGCTCCATCAGAAGTTTTAATTTATAGTTTGTCTTTCTCTGCTGTAGCATTAAAACTTCATTGGGTTGAAATTGAAGCAAAACATTGCTCATAATATTAACGTAAGAAATGCACAGTATTCTATGAACATAATTATAAAAATTTGAATATCTATTTTTATGAAAAATTTCGTGCAGTTTCACAGTTTCCTAACCACATCAAAGCTTATATAGTCACTATAATGTGTGTACTTGCTGTCTTCTGATAGAACAAAAAAAATACTTAGAACCACAAAAACCTTGCTTTTCTGGTCAAACCAATCGGTTCAAGCAGGGGTTGCCTGTTTCAGTTATGCGAGGTTTTCGTTAGTTAGATAGATGATGCCCCCTCCTCCCCCCAAAAAATGGGGCGCGGAGGGGGGGAGCCAAACTTATTTTTTAGCTGAATTTAGAGACACAGTTGTTTGCATCTTGCATTATGGGCAAGCCGTCGCCAACAATTCTTCGTGTGTTCTTGTCATCAAAGTGCCCGAAACCTGGAATGTAGTTGAAATATTAAGCAATGTGCTGTAGCCAGTATTCAAAAGCTAACGTTGGATTTGGCACTCATAGATATTTAACTTTAGTATTTGGCCTATTCTGTTGTCACACTGGTACATCTTGTCTTCCTGTTTCCAGGTTGCTTCCGTGTGGTCATGAGGAGAGACCAGGTGCACAAGGTTGCTTGCAATCACTCTATCACAGAGTTCACGAAGTTGTCCCCGCTTTCCACCTCTTCCAACTCGCTTACATGGAAAGCATTGGACTTCTCTGAAGGAAAGACATCGCCAGAAGCCTTTGCTGTCCGCTTCAAGGTACATAATCTTGCGCTTGATAAGCTTTACAAGCTCTTATATACAGTGAAAGCAAGGTAATTAAGAATTCCTCATACTAGTTTGAAGCTTCTTGCTTCCACGTGGCATTATACTACTCTGATTTTGCCTCAAACTTTTTACGCAGAGCAAAATTATCAGGGCAGTAATCTGGAGCAGGAGAATAAATTGGGTAGTGTGATCATCATGCAAGTAAATATGGTAGTTTTCCAGCTGGAAAGAGGACCTTCTGAGCCAATGTATTCAATGTATTGCAACACTAGGCAACCCAAGTCAGCGTAGTAAAACATCTCGAGCTGGTTGCTTGTTTATACCAAAGTAAAAACAGTGCACGCTTGACAAGGATGGACAGATAAAACACAAGACACGGACGGTGTCTTGCGTTTCCTTGGTCCGTCCTCGTCAAGTGTGCACTGTTTTCACCTCGACAGGTGAGTGAGTGTGTCATTCATCTGTCTTGAGTGTTGCGCTTCCAGTATGATTCTTGGAACTACGAACTATTAGCCATGGCAGTCCAGCATCCCTGGTTACAAGGTGACTACATTGTGCCAAATTGCTACTTTCTAACCCTGCCTGGCTACAAAAATTTCAGATTGGCAACATGGCTGCTTTCTGGCTGCATGAAACTTGTACTTTGGCACAGTTACTGGCCATTTCTCCTTATATTTGAAAACGGCAAGCAAGTCTAAAGGATAGCCATTTTTGCAAGCTTTTCTGTTGTGTTTGCCTATGCGCGCACATGGCCTTTCCCCGCCAGCAGGCTTGAGCACATCCAGAGCCCCAACAAGCACCCCTCAGTCTGAGACAACGGAGGGACGCGCGCATGTAAGGAAATTCGCGGCTATATAGTGCAGTGCTGACGCACAGTTTTATTGCTTAAACAGTGTGTCAAACAAATATTGACAACAGAACAAAGTTGTATTGGTATTATTTTAGCTTTGCTCCAATCTCTGTCTATAGGTTTAAGAACCTTTAAAGTTTAATGACGTTGCTGAGTTGTTGGCCGAAGATTACTTTTGCGAGAATTCTCGTTATTTTAGACTAACTGTATGCAGGCATAGGAAAATATTCGGACTTTGATGACGAGATTTCAGACATTCTCAAACAGCTGTTTAGAGACAGGAGTTTGTCAAGATAACGGCCCATGAAGTGGCACGCAATCGAGGCATATTCAGAAGTGATTTTAAAGACAGCATAAGTAACTGGTTCAGTCAAGTAAAAGAACAGCCAGCAGAATAAATTTCGCTTTCAATCAGGGTGCATTGTGCTTACCTTCTGTTTCATTTAATAACCCTGTAAGGACTCGCGTATAGGTCGGACCTGCATATAGTTCAAGGTGCATTTCGGGCATAGCAGATGCAAGAAAAATAAGTATTTGCCCGAATATAGACCAAGGAAAACAGAGAAATACATTTTACACTCAATTACTCATCATCTGATGAGCTGTCATTCAAAGCTCTCTTGTCGTACATGTCCTCCCACAGCTCCTCATTTTCAGTGCCATCGAGAGGGCATTTGAGATAAAGCACTTTTTGAAAGAACGACAAACGAGCTCCATGGGAATGCTGGCCCAAGCCTTGGCAATCCACGAGCACAGTATCACTGGCGAGGCCCTTGTAGCGCCCTCGTTCGGGCGGCGCGCAAACCGGAGAGCGCGCGATAGCGACAGAGGAAAATAAAGAAGGCGCTAGGTCGTGGCACGTGAAGCCACGGCTCACGTTCCGGGCTGGCATCAGTTATCGTTCAGGCGCGTCTCTCTTTCGCTCCTGTGGAATAAGCCTACAAGTGGTGACCTTGGACGAAGACAATGACTGACTCGAATGCACCCTCAACCGAACAAGCCTCACGTCCGCAGGACGTCTCGGCCGTGCAACTGCGTCTCCCATCTTTCTGGCCACAGGACCCGCAAGTTTGGTTTCATCAGGTCGAGGCGCAATTCTCTCTGTACCGCATCGCCTCGGAAACGACACGCTACTACCACGTAGCCTCCGTCCTTCCTCCTGACGTTGCCAGCGAGCTCTCCGACGTCCTCTCCAACCCCTCGGACACTACGCCATATCAGCACCTTAAAACCAAGGTGCTGGAACGATTTATGCCTTCGGAACGCGTCCGCCTACAGCAGCTCCTTGCAGAGGGGGACCTTGGCGACAGGCGCCCCTCCCAACTACTGCGCCGAATGCGACAGCTTCTTGGGAAACACGACGTCTCTGCCCACTCAGCGTTGCTTCGCGAGCTCTTCCTCCAACGCCTTTCTCAGCCAATCCGCCTCGTCCTCGCGGCGGCCGGCGACGTCAATCTCGACCGCCTGGCGGAGCTCGCCGATCAGGTTCATGAAGCGACCTCCCCATCTGTCAACGCTGTCTTACCACCAGCAGACACAGCGATTTCGCGCCTTGAGGCCCGCATCGACGAACTCGCCGCCTCCATTGCCGCACTCCGGAGCCCCCTGCAGGAGACTCGTTCGCCTCGCTCCAGTCGTCGAGCTCTTCCACGCACACGAGATGCTCGGAGTCCCAGCCCTCCACCCCTCTGCTGGTACCACCGGCGTTTCCGACGCCGAGCCACGAAGTATACACCCCCATGTTCGTGGCAGGGAAACGCCTGCCGGGATCACTGACGGCTGCGTGTGATCTCCCTTCTCGTCCCAGCCGCCTTTTCATGGTCACAGACCAGCTATCGGGCGCCAGGTTCCTTATAGATACGGGCGCGGAAATTAGCGTTGTGCCCCCGACTAAGGCTGATTGTTCAAAGTCACAGGGGCAAGTGCTTCGTGCTGCCAACGCCTCGTCTATAGCAACGTATGGGCTCCGATCTCTCACCCTCGACTTCAGCCTTCGCTGCATTTTCCGGTGGGTTTTCGTCATCGCAGACGTGGTTCAGCCGATCATCGGCTCGGACTTCCTCTCATACTTCGATTTGGACGTCAGCGTACGGCGGCGCCGCCTCATAGATGGTAAGACTCGTCTCTCCATCTCGGGAGTCCTGTCCGACATCGCTCCAATGGCCATCCGCATGCTGATACCTTCCTCACCGTTCGAAAAAATCTTGGTGAGTTTCCCGGAGTTAACTAAACCGTGCAACCTCACTCAGCCGCCTAAACATACGGTGACACACCACATCGTCACCCGGGGTCCACCGGCAGCCGCTCGACCACGCCGCCTGTTCGGAGACCGCCTAGCTATTGCTAAACGGGAGTTTGACCACATGCTGCAGCTCGGCATTATCCGCCCGTCGTCAAGCGCTTGGGCTTCCCCGCTGCATTTGGCGCCAAAGCGTGATCCTGGTGACTGGCGTCCTTGTGGGGACTATCGAGCGTTGAACGCCAAGACTGTCCACGACAGCTATCCTCTACCTCACATCCAGGATTTTACATCGCGCCTCGACGGCTGCACAATTTTCAGCAAAGTGGACCTTGTTAAGGCGTACCACCAGATTCCTGTCGAGCCCGCCGACATACCTAAGACCGCCATCACGACGCCCTTTGGGTTGTTTGAATACGTGCGGATGCCTTTTGGACTCCGCAATTCGGCTCAAACTTTCTAGCGGTTCATTTCTGAGGTCACACGGGCTCTTCCTACTGTGTTTGCGTACCTTGACGATGTCCTCATCGCCAGCCGCACACCTGAAAATCATGAGCACCATCTACGCGCTCTGCTCCAATGTCTTCAGCAATACGGCCTCGTTGTGAATGCCTCTAAGTGTACTTTCGGCGCATCTGAGCTCGAGTTCTTGGGCCATCACATATCATCCAAAGGAATACGCCCTCTCCGGTCCCACGTTAAAGCAATTCAGGATTATCCTCAGCCTACAACACTGCGCCAATTACGCCAATTCCTGGGGCTTGTGAATTTTTCCAGGCGCTTCATACCACACTGTGCCGAACTGCTACGACCGCTCACCAACCTCCTTCGGTCGACTGCCGGCCCGTCCTCCGCCATTCCTTGGTCGTCAAAGACCCAGGCCGCCTTTGCTGCTGCTAAGCAAGCAGTCGCAAACGCCGTGCTTCTCATTCATCCACGCAGCAACGCCCCTACTCGGTTGATGGTGGACGCATCCAGCGTGTCCGTCGGAGCCGTCTTACAGCAGTGCATTAACTCCGAGTGGAGACCCTTGTCGTTTCACTCTCGGAAGCTACTTCCTGCTGAGACCCGCTACAGCGTCTTTGGCCGGGAATTACTAGCCATCTACGCTGCAATACAGCACTTTCGGCATTTCCTGGAAGGATGCTCGTTTTACGTGCTGACTGACCATAAGCCACTGGCGTATGTTTTCCGCACTAACTCATCCAAGTACGTGCCCCGTGAACTCCGCCATCTGGCTTATATATCGGAGTTCACGACTGACATCCGCCACGTGAAAGGAGCTGACAACACCGCCGCAGATGCCCTTTCTCGTATAGCCGCGGTTGACTCTCCACCGCCAACCATCGACTGGGCCTCATTCTCCTCAGCACAGCAGGATGATAGAGAGCTTGCCGCTTTTCGGGAGAACCCCCGTTTTCTCCGACTACGCCTGGTGCCTCATCCATTATCATCTGAGCGCTTGTGGTGCGATGTCTCAGCTGACCTTCCCCACCCTTTTCGTTCCCGCTTCATTACGACGCACCGTTTTCCACTCCTTACACGACATCTGTCACCCTGGCATTCGGGCTACTCAACGTCTTCTCACCCAGCGCTATGTCTGGCCCGGAATCAACGGTGATGTGCGCGCTTGGACGCGCATGTGCCTGCCCTGCCAGATGACAAAGGTCTTCCGTCATACTAAGACGCCGCCCCAACCTTTCCTTCCACCCGGCCGTCGTTTCGACCATGTTCATCTAGACATTGTGGGCCCTTTACCAGTGTCTCAGGGGTACCGTTATATATTGACCATGGTCGATCGCTTCACACGCTGGCCAGAGGCTGTTCCAATTCAAGATATCACAGCCGAGACAGTCGCCCGCGTTTTCATTTCTACGTGAGTATCCCGTTTTGGCTGTCCTGGCACCATGACAACAGGCCGTGGACGTCGGTTTGAGTCCTTGCTGTTTACTTGCCTTAATCGCATCCTCGGAGCCAGACAATGCCGTACCACGGCTTATCATCCCTGCGCCAACGGCATGGTGGAACGCCTTCACCGACAACTGAAGACCGCCTTGACTACCCACCTCAATAGAGCCACCTGGGTTGATGCCTTGCCACTGGTGCTCTTAGGTTTACGAGCTGTCATTCGGGCAGACCTGCAGTGCTCAACAGCAGAGCTGGTGTATGGCACTTCCCTACAGCTTCCGGGAGACTTCTTCACGTCAACGAAACTACCAGACCAGCCACAGCAATTCCTACAACGCCTCCTCGACTACGTTCAAGACCTCTGACCCTCTCCACCCAGACCTTCCGAACACAAGACCATATTCGCCCACCCTGATCTGGCCACTGCAACACATGTTTTCGTGCGCCGCGACGCGGTCAGATCAACTTTGACACCAGCCTACGATGGACCATTCCGCGTCCTTCACCGCACCCCCAAAACTGCCACTCTACTTCAGAACGGCCGTGAAGAGACAGTCAGCTTGGACCGACTCAAGCCGGCGTACCTGGAGACCGCCCTAGAAAGCCTCTCATCTACGACTGATCTTCCGTTGGAATACCACAAACGGCATGTCACATTCCGACTTCCAGTCTACACGGGGGGCCCTGTAGCGCCCACGTTCGGGCGGTGCGCAAACCGGAGAGCGCACGATGGCGACAGAGGAAAATAAAGAAGGCGCTAGGCCGTGGCACGTGAAGCCACGGATCACGTTCCGGGCTGGCATCGGTTATCGTTCAGGCGTGTCTCTCTTTCGCTCCTGTGGAATAAGCCTACACCCTCTTCAGTCGTCCGACATGGGTCACTTCCGGCTCTCCAGACCTCATCCATTCCATATACGGCGCTTGATGTGGTTTTTAAATGGCTTATTCAAGCACACACCAAGCGGCTGCAGCCGGCATATCATCCCTCTCGGGATAACGACGAGCTCAGTGCGGGAGTCGCGCAGCTATCGCTTCACGGAGTCCACCAGATGACACTTAAATGCGTCAAGCACAAGCATGAATGGGAATCCTAGCAGTGCTCAGGGCCATCGACACCACACAGACTTGATCAAGTCACATGCAAGCGATTCATCTATTCATCCACCCTTTATTCTGGCAGTGGACAACATTTCTTAAGAACTTCTCCTCCTTCGGCAGCATGTTTAGTTTGAACATGACGTAAGGTGGCAGTTTGCGCCCATCTGCCATGCAGGCCAGCGTTACAGTCGCCTGCATATTCTCATTCCCAGTTTATCGCACGGTAACTTGCCTGGAGCCTTTTTCGTGAACAGTCAGAGACGAGGGCATATCGAGGTACACAGATGTCTCATCAGCATTTCCGATCTGCCTCAGCTGAAAGGAGACTGCCTTTCGCAAGGAAATCTTTGTAGCTTTCTGGCAGCTCCTGTGATACTGACGTATGCCGACGTAGAAAGAATTCAGCGCGGCATGTGAAGCGGGACACCCAATGCTTACTGGATATGAGCAATGCTTGCACCTTGGCGCTATTTGTTCTGGAAAAATTCGCCATTGGGCAGTCTTGTGTCCTTTAAATCGTGGTATACGCATATTCCAAGCCAATAGTACTATAGGATGTCTTTTTGCGTGGTGAGTATACACCCCCGAGTAGTGGGAGTCCCTGTTGCGTGCCTCCAAGCCAGAAGAGCAATGCCGGCTCATCCAGCACGCGGTGGAGGCTGCGATATCGTAAGGGATCCCCGCCAACCACCTCTGAAATAGCGCCACCAGTCTCTGTACTGGTCCCCTCCATTTTATCTTTCTTTTTTCTAGGTGAAACAAAAATACCACGGCCAATGCTTGCTCATCTTGAAGACCGCCTGCTCAATGCCGTGATCTCGCTTGCCTTTGCTTGCAGCAGCTCGATCTTGACAGCGCCCATTACTCCCGAAGAAAGTTCGCCAGTTTTTGTTCAACGTACGAAAAACCTCCATGTTTTGGCCACCGAAAACTTCTTCGCTGGCCGCTGCAAACTGTTTATTTCCCTGTGGCGCGATGGTAGCAGTAGCCGAGAGCGGCGAGCAGTTGAACGTACTTCTCTGAAGCCTTCGCCCAGAGGTGGAATGGGGAGGAAATCATTGTGAAAACAGCAACAGGTAGGAATGTTTACTATAGCAGGTTATAGTTTCTACAAAGCCGGCCAGGTCAACAAAGTCGGCTGGGGCAAAATCCTCCAAACATGGGGCCGGCATGGCCTTAAATAACGTTTTTGGTCCTTTCTCTGAGACCTGTCCCCGGTGCTCGGCGTAGGAGACGTAGCTTTCCCCAGAACTGCACGGTGGCTCGCCGCCATCTGCTTTGAAGGTGGTGCTGGAAAGGGGAAAGTTCACCGGAACTGCCTCGTTCTCATGGGAAGAAGCGCTCCCGATCAAGGACCATGCCTGTGGCGAAACAATACAAAGAGGGCTTTTTTCTTCTTCCTCCAGCCGCGAATGCACCGCTCGTACACGCCGAACTGTCACCCCGCAGCACAGTTACCGATGGTTGCATCAGCTAAGATAGCCTTTCTTTTATAAAGGCAGGCATGGCGTAAAGTCACAGAGATAAAATCGTGGTCATTGTTACATGCACCAAGTGGGTGCAGGGGCCACTGTTGCATACTTGTAGCACCTGTAGGACTAAGGTCACTAGCGCTACAACATTACCCTACCGCAAAAGAGTGCAGACACCTGATGATGATGATGATAGCACCGTATATTGCCCAAACCAAAACAATAAATTCAGGCCGAAAATTTTTGTGATCTGCATGTAGTCTGGGCCTCGCCGCGGTGGTCTAGTGGCTAAGGTACTCGGCTGCTGACCCGCAGGTTGCAGGATCGAATCCCGGCTGTGGCAGCTGCATTCCTGATGGAGGCGGAAATGTAGGCCCGTGTGCTCATATTTGGGTGCACGTTAAAGAACCTCAGGTGGCCAAAATTTCCGGAGCCCTCCACTGCGGCATCTCTCATAATCATATGGTGGTTTTGGGACGCTAAGCCACACATATCAAATCATGTAGTCCGGGAAGAACTTTTGCATAGAAACTTCATATAAAAAAAAAAACTGGCTAAATGCGGGTTTTTATAAAAAAAAAACTGGCTAAATGCGGGTTTTTACGGTAAATCTGGGAGCAGGCTATAGTTAATAAATGTCATTTAGAAACATTGCAATTTGGTTCCTAATGATTTAATCTGTAATATTTATTTCCCGGAAGTTGGAATGATAAAATGCTTGTGCAAATCAAATAGCAAACACCATTTGGAAATACCTGAAAGCTCAAATATTTGCACACCCCTAGTTTTCGTATTTATGTCTGCGAAGACATCAGCAATGACTTTTCCCTAGTTCTGCTCTTTTTGTTTGTTTGTTTGCTTGGTTGCTTTACTTTAGGGGACTTCAATAAAGTACAGGCACAACATCTATAAAAGGGTACAAAGTTCTCTCTCTAATAGTGGGTGTGCCTGTATTTTCATGCAGTGTGGTAACTCGTGGAGAAAACCTTGATTAAAAGACAGACATGGTGTTCTGTAGCATGTTGTGAATAGTTCATTATTGGAAGTGACAGTTAGATAATGCTTCGGGCTTCTTTTTGTGTATTCCTTCCCTATTCTTTCTCTCTAGAATGCAGAAGCTATGAACAAGTTTGCCAATGTGTTTGAAGAGTGCAGACTAGCTGTTGTGGAAAAGGGAAGCCAACCTGGTGAGAACACATTTTTCTTTTTGCGCTTTGTTTTAAAGCATCCAAAATGGCACTCTGAGTAGGTTTTTGACAAAAAATATTATTTAACTAACTTTCAAGTTAGTATTCACCTTGAAAGTATTCTGTATTCACCTTGAGAGTACTTCTCATTAACAACTCCCTCATTTTACCTCTTCTATTGCTCTTAAACCCTCAGAAATGCTCCCGTGTTGGGGGTTTCACCAACGCTGCTGAAACTTTATTTATTTATTTTATTTTGAAACTCTGACATTAGCAGTGAAATCCTCGGGGTAGTTAGGTGACTTAATAAAATCTGTTACTAGGCTAGTTAGTGCAAATATAGGAAAGTGGTGCAACACGGGACAAAGACGTAAACAGGGAAGCAAGTGTTTGGCGAACTGCCAACTGGTTTATTTTTTTTAAAAAACGCTTAATACATATTACAATCCTGTTATTTATGTCGGATGTTCGCTGGAAAATAAACCAGTTGATAGTGTGCGCTTGTGCTTGTTCCCTCGTCTATGTGTTTGTCCTATGTTGCCCTTATTTTCGTATTTTAATTTTAATTGTGTGGATGACCTCTTGTTGTAAGGGGGAATCTTGAGGGCTGATTAAAGAGACTAAAAACTGATTTTTCTCTAACCTTTCTTTCTTTTTTTTTAATGGTGTGATAGAAAGGTCATCCCTTGTAGCTTTTGTATGTGCAGTAGTCAATTCCAAAAGCATGTATGTAGTTGCTTTACAAGTGCTATTTTTTTATTGGAAAGGCTCTAAACACAGATGTGCCTTTCCTCCAGCAATGCTGAGAATCGATAGCGATGCTACCAGGCCTTCTCACAGCAGGTATTCTTGTAACTATGCTCAATCATCTTTATTTTGAGTTTTCCAACTATTTCTTTTTAAATAACAAGCTATTACAATGAGATGATGTGCCATTGTACATCTTTCGTGTTGTGCCGTGTTGTGTGGGCCATTACAAGCTTGGGTGATGATTCTTTCGTGGAATGATACAAGCTTGGGTGTTGAAAGGCATCGGTCAGGGTAATGTGATGAAATGCAAGGTTGAGGGGCATATTGAGCAGCAGCATCTATATCTTTTAGTTCTACGTGCAGTGGAGGAAAGGCCTTATGAGATAGTCTGTAGTTCTGTAGTATTATGTGTGTGTATCTAAATGGCATCATTTCTGCCTAGTCTAAGTTGTGCTGGCCTTAGTGCTGGTGCCTGGGGGGGTGAGGCCTCATGTTATCACATAGACACACTCATTACTAGTGAGAGACGTTGACCCTGGTGCTCAAACTAAGTATGTAGGTGTGTTGTTTTTAATGGAGAATTTTTTGTCCATCCGAGATATGGCATTGCGCACATTTTCACCTGCCTGCTGGGAGTTTTGTAATATATGTTAGCGCATCGGGAGGTTGAGCACTGGTGGTGAAGTCTAGTTGCAGTGCTTCCACACCTCTTCAGTTGGCCACCGCCATGTCTTTTGCCTTGAGATTTAAGTAGCCTGCAACAATCATATGAAAATTGTGCTGGTCGTTGCCATGGAGTACGATCAGTGTTCTTACATGTGCTGCTGGCAAAATGATCAGTGATGTCTCTGGTTGGTGCTGTTGACAAGGGATCACATGGGAAAACTCTGTGTTGAGTGCCTTCCAGTCTGTATGCTGTAATCATTGATCTGATTGACTTTCTGGGCTTTGATTAATTCAGCCATGGTGTTTAATAGTTCAAGCTGTAATAGTCTAGCCTGTTGAAGGATGTATAGGAAGGTCTGTCACCATTTTCACTGCTATGCATATGAAGATGTCTGACTATTCAGTTTGTTTTTGGATGGGTCAGCAGAAAGGCACATGGTAAATTATGTAGTTTACAATTGGCATATTTGGTGAAAATGTTGCACCTGATTTTTTTTCAGGCCAGGTGGTAGTTGTTAACTTTTCAGATTGTATGGATTACCTGATTAATTTGCTTTTTCAGCAGCATCAGGGTGTATGTCATTTTCATGTTGGCTTGGGTACGTAGACCCAATAACCATAACATGTTTACATTGTTAATGAATTCACCTTCAATAACAGTGACCGTAAATAAGGGGGTAAGTGTTAACCTCATAATTTTCTTAATATAAGCAGCTCGGACTTAGATGCATGCATGTAATTCTCAACATGGTCCCCCACAACAGGCATCATTACTGTTATGAGCAGCAACAATGCAGCAAATGAGATACACCCCTTCACTTTGTGCAACAGCCTCAAAGAGAAAGGGTAAAACATAAAAACATAGAATGCTAAAGCCCGTTACCCAATAGAATTGAAATTCAGCGGTCGAGAGACTTGGTTTCACACTGCTCTATATTGTTGGCACAGCTGCCTCTGAAAGAAATGGTGATCTGGAGCGAGAGCAAGTTGAAGGCAGAACAAGGAAAGAGGAGGAGGAAGATATAGATGAAGAGGAGGACGATGATGACGATGATGAATATGAGGACGATGACGAAGATGATGAGCATGGGGAAGATATCATGTTTGAAAAGAGGATTACTCTGTCTGTACAGAGGCCAGTTGGAGGCACTTACGAGGTGAGTTGTCTTGCCCATATGACAGTTTCACCTGTTATGTTGCAGTTGCAGCATATGAAGGAATCGGGCAGTGCAGCAAGACATTGCTGCTTAGGACGCTGCAGTAACTGTTTGTTCTGCTAAGCTGTCACGTCAACTGTTTGTAGTAATTAAACTTCACTGGTGTTGGAAAGCTGCGAGTCATCACTGAACTTTTAAACATCAAATGATCTCCAGCCAGAGCTTGCCTTCCTATTGAGCCTTGCTTCTTTCCTGTTTGTGCCCAGACCCTTGGGATGGGCAACCTGAAGATGGTGTACGACGACTCATGCTTTGGGGCACGCATCCGAGTCACCGCTGACGATGGGTCACTGCTATGCGACACCATTGTGGCAGTGCAAGTGTGCCTACGCACAGAGCGCCTCAATGCTTACTGGTCTGCTCTGGATATGTCGATCGAACCAAACGTAAGGCGTCACTTCAAGGCCTCGTTCAGCTCGCCTCAGGCCGTTGCAGAATTCAGCCGAATCTTCACTGAGGTGGGTTTGCTACGAGTGCAAGGTCATGATTCGTATCAAAGTTCCCACTGGTGTTCAATTTTTTGTCATTGGGGCCGTTTTCTTCTCTTTCTCTCTCACTTTTTGTAGTACCACTAGGATGAATGAATTCAGCCCATGGGCACAGTGTTGCTTTTGGGGAGAAGAAAAACTTAGTAGGCCTGTGCGAATATTCAAGTACTTTGTATATTTAAAGAAACATTACTGTATTGGAAACGAACAAGTACTTTAAAACTCCAAGTCATCCCAAGTGAGATCGTCTACAAGAAGCCAATGCTGTTGCTTTTTCATCGTATTCTAATTTATGTTTGATTGACAAACGTGTTGATTACACATTTCAATGGTGGCATACAACTTTAGGCTGTGTCATTCTGACAACAAACGCACAGTTCGCATGGCAGCAAGAATCAGCATTTTAGGGCAATTTTTCTTATGCAAAGTGTTTCAATTGCAGTTGTTAAAATGTAACTGTAAATAAAGGAAATGTGAGCAGCATCATTGTGCTGCAGACGCCAAAATAAAACCTGCTTGATTTTCACAGTACATTGTGCTTGCTTGAAGTGAATGTGCAACTGCACAGTGGTGCATTGAAACTCTGCAAGCTTAGTAAAGTTCACGTTATCACGTGTCTGCCCGTGAACATCAACTTGAAATGGAGCAGCAAAGTAATATGAGTGTACATGGGCACAAAAGTAGCACGAAGTGGCTCTGCAGGTTCAAGTGTCAAAATGCATACAAGTGCTGGCAGGTGTATGTGGCTCACTTCAGCTGGTGCCGAAAAGTCTTCTTTGCGTACAATTCTTTAAATACTTACACACAACAGCTCATCCTAGCCAATGTACAAAGTGATTATGTGCGAGAGTCAGGGCTACACTTCATTATTACTGGTTCAGCTACCGTACATGAACACATTTTTTTTTTTCTTGAAAAATCATAGTAAAGTTGAGGGGTGCATTTATTATGCAGGACAAATTTTATAAAGACTTTTTCGATATGAGCAAAAAAATGCAGTGATTCAAGAAAAAAAAAGTTAGGTCGCTTAGCCTTTCGCAATTGACATGAGCATACACTGTTTAGAAACAGCTTCTTTGTTGCACTTTATTCATCATGGGTGGTTGATGGCGCTATATTCTGCAAGCTCTCCCCACGTCGATCGTACACGCCATAAATGTTCTTTGCAGTTACCTTTTCTCGTAATTGTTTAACTGCAACAGTGGTATCTGCTGTAATCTCGAGGAGCAGCCAGAAGAGTGCACTGCGCCGCTACGACGCACTTTGCCAACCTTGCGGCAACCTCGTACGATGACCGTGACGCCGCCGTTTACATTGTAGCAAGTAACCAACATTGCAGCAGGCTACTCCCGAAGCATAAAAACGAATTGTCAATAACAAGATTAACTACAAAATACCGTTGCTGCCTAGCGTCCATGTGAGCAGTTCCTGTATGTGTACAGAACAATCTAAGCGAGAATTGGGGAATGCTACCATGTTACGGAAATCGTTGCAATCCTTTCTGGTTTTCCAGAAACCTGCCACGCGATAGCGACGAATGACCCTTAGCCACAACAAATCCGTTCGCCGTCGCTTGAAAATCGCGTGCACGTCGTTCGGCCTAAAGGGGCCCTGCAACACTTTTTGAGTATGGTCAGAAAACGCTATTGATCGGTAGTATAGGCTCCCGACAACACGCGAGCCAAATATTATAGCGCAGCACGCGGCTTGGAATTCGCAATAAGTTATCAAATCAGCTGAAAATTGCTTTCTCTTCTCTCGACAAATTATGCAATATACCCAAAAATTACACCTAGCAAGTCCATCTATCGGCCATTAGATGATAGCGCGCTCATTCTTTACAGAGATCGCCGCGGGAGGCCGCTACTTGTCCACGCGTACACGCGCGATCACACTGAAAAAGGCACGCACTTGAAGGGGAAAAAAAGAAAAAAAAAATGCTCAAGCTCACGAGGCATGCGTGGCGTTTTTCTGTTTCCCGCCATCCCTCCCTGCTTAGCTTCTAGCGCTTTCGTCTGGATGAGAGAAAAGAGAATGCGCTTGCAGCATGCGACAAACCTTTGTAGCTCCACTCGCACTAGACGGATTCTTAAAATTTTTGCGGCATTGAATTCGTGAGGCAATGAACTCCCTCTTCCAGTGAATTCATTCCATGGTTACTTGAAAAAGTGTTTCGGGGCCCCTTTAAAGTTTTGTATTGGCAGAAAGCGACCATCGGGCGTGCTTATCAGCTGCGATGTCTGTACACTCGCACCGTTCGTGAACCCTGCTGCTGAGCGCAGATAAAAAAGACGGGGGACGTGCCGTGCACAGATAGAAAAACAATACGGCACGCGGCAGTGGGTGAATCGGGGAAAGAGGGGGAGCGAGACAAGGTGGCCGAGGGTGGTTGGCATATAATAATAAAAAAACGGAAGAGATCTAACGGGTAAGGAGGCACCACGTCTGGGGCCGTCTAGATGGCCGCTGGGAGCGGTTGCTTACGCAGGCCGCCATGGCCCGCTGGACAGCCCATAGATGGTCGGTCTTGTAGCTCTGAACTAAACTGCGCAACTGATCATCATGTCCGCAGACCTTTGAGGGTAACTGCCATTCTATTTTGTTACAGTCTTCATCCCCAGAACACGTGTGAACCATGCTACTGCCAGACTCTCATAGCCTGCATATATAACTCAGGTGTATCTCTAGGTAGAAAGTCTTGAATTGCATGAGATTCAGATGTGTTTTTGTTTGTGATCACATGACTCTAGGCAATCTACTAAGTTTTGGTGGGATGCTGTGGTAGGTAATATTTGCCTCAGCTTTTAAGAGAATATTGAATCTTTTTAATTGTTTTTTTTTCTCCCCATATCTCCTCCACATTCCTGTGACCAACGGAATTCACTGCTTCATCAACTCAGCGACTAAGGCATTGATATTTTCAATATGCTACATTGTTGGTGTCTATTGCAGGGGTGCAAGAAATAGTTTCCTTCGGGAACTAGTAAAGGTGCTTGTCATTCTTCCCTGCATTGGAGAATTTCGCTTCAACTCTGATGATGTACCACTCAGGGTAGATTCTACCCTTAGCATTATTTCTAATGGATGCCTGAATATCATTAGTGATTTATTGAGCATTTGTGATATTAATGCTAGTGCACTGACTACCTCCTTTGCTATGTGTAATCTACTACTATTACATAGCTATTTCTGTTTGGGTAGTATAGAAGTATCCACTAATTCATAACTTGTTCTTCGGAGAAGTATGGTGGCTGCTACACACCTGTAAGAGATTGTGTGCTCTTTGTTAATGCTGTAGCATAATGGCTGAGCCTTTTTTTTGTAGGTTGGAAGCATTCATTGACCCATTCATTACGCAATTTGTATTGCATGATGCCAGGTTGTTATTTTACTCCTCTAATACGCTCCGACACATATTGACATGATTCTTGCCAGGACATGAAGCTTGCATAGGTTCTGTTGCCAAGCAATTTTCAAGCACTGGCGTGATTTTTTTGGAGAATGCTTGGCTGACACATAGGGGAACCGGTTTCAAATCTCATGGCAGTGGTTCTCAAATGGGGGTCCGTGGGAAGCTATTTCTATGATCCGCGAAATCCTCACCCGCATTTTTCTTTAAGCGTGACTGTGCCAAGTATTGATAATCTGTCCAAAATGAAGTGATGTGGCATGTTTTTTTCATGTATTTGGTGGCAGTAAAAGGCACCTGTTTCACGCTCCAGTTGTGTTAATTTACCAGCTCCCTCCCCTCTGCTGCACGGGGTCCCCGACACATCCATGGCTGAGGACCACTGCTCTATGGGATATATACTAGGTGTCCCAGCTATCTTTAGCCCAGGGTTAAAAATTGCAGCATTAGACGTAGCCATCTGAAATCTATTGCGTATTGTTAACAGCCACCTTGCACACTACAAACCATTCTTTGTTTTGTAATATAATCGATTTGTTAATTATGAATAACTAATTTGGTAAATATTAATTTTACACCACAAATGGGGTTTGCCAAGTTTCAGTGCATCTTTGGAAACCCATTGCATTATTTGCCATAAAGGGTCACTTGTGCCTTTTTTTTTTTTTTTTCAAGCAAAATGCAAAAGGAGCGACGTGGTGACTAGCGAGTTTGCGCACTGCGAACGTATTGCTACTCTCATAGTTAGAGCCAACGAAATTGGCGGCAGCCGCGTTTGGCCAGATCCTTTGCAGCAGTAGGCCACCGCTTTCAATGCAGCACAAACGCATTTTGAACGCACCAAAGACCGCCATTGTTGTGTTCTCATAACAGCTTTGACTGTTAAAAAATAAAATAAAAAACGGCGCCACTCCTGACAGCCTCTGTCATCTGGCCCGTTTGCAGGAGGTCACTATTCTCCAACTGGGTGAGTAGCATGAGAGCTCATATTCACGAATCATTGCGAAAAATTCGTCGAGGCTGTCTTGAAGAGTGTCATTATGCTTGGATTGATCACTGGACCCACCCGCTTTGTACCAGTGAACGTTGTGCCACTTTTATTTCTTAGAATACTGCTGCTGAATGTTCGAAAAACCGCAAGTTAGTGCTCAAGCTGAAGTGCTTGGAAGTGGGTTGTCACTCGATGCTCCCACCTCTAACAAATATTGAGTGCGACGGAGCAACATTATTGGAAAGTAGCACCAACTAACGCTATATTAAAAATGAAAGCTACTTTTTTTACTTTATAGATTAGAAAAAACCAGACGTAGGGTCCAGCTCGAACCTTTCCTCACGGGTGACTGTGGGGCACAAGGGAATATATCAGTTTAAGGTGCCTCCTCCTCGTCAAGTTGGGGGGGGGGGCTCAAGTCGCTTTGTGGCTTTTAAGTGACGTAGTCCACTGAAGTAGACACCCGACAGCACACCTCCAGACCGCTTCAGGTGAGCCAAGGGGTTGTCTATTACAATAGACTATCCAACTCAAAACGAGTGTGACCCCCACCCCCTCCACCCCTGATCGAAAAAGAAGCGTTTTAAGGCCATCCACACCTCGAACGCGCAGTTTCTAAAGGAAAAAATGTAACGCAGCGGCATCGGCGCACATGGTGGAAATTCAACGTATTTACGAAGTGCGGCA